GCTTCGCCACCACCCTCCTCCAGGTGATGATGCTAGACGTTCTCGATGTTTGCGCCATGCGGTTCCCTCACACCCGACTTTATAATGTGGTGGATGACATTGCGGCCCAGACGATCGGCACGGCCCAACTGGCGGTCGCGGAAGGCTTGGCGGTCACCCTCACGCTGCGTCGCATGCCTGAGGCCCGTGCGCTCATCATCTCCACGACCAAGGGCCGCGCGACGGCTACCACTTCGGACATCGCCGATAAGATAGTTGCAGGTTTGAAGAAGTGGCACTTTCGGTGCGCACATCATGTGAAGAACCTGGGCACTGACTACACGCAGGGGGGTCGTCGACGGGTTCAGGCCCAGACAGGGCGAGTGTGCAAGCTGAGGGCCCGTGCTGGCCTCTGAAAAGTCAGTTCCGTAGGCTCCCAATGATCTCCAACGTGGGTGCCCTCCCTGCAGGCTCGTGCGGGGCCAGTGTCGTTCGGATCTCTAAAAAGCTCCCCTCGAGGCTTCGGTGTGCGGTAGCCCAGGGCCTTTTCGGGCCAGCTAGAGGCCGTTCCCGAACTATACAGTACTGGTTTTCGCCTGCGCCCGAAGCCGACCCAGCTTTCGTGGGCAACTCCCTGCCGCTCCTCGCCTGGGGGAACGCTCTTTGGCAGGGATGGGCGCCTAGGGAGGCGATGCGTTCCGCGTTCGATTTGCTCTTGGAGCGCTTCCGCGCGAACGAATTCACTTGGTCTGCTGTGAAAGGCCCAACGGGCACTGTGATCATGACGCTTCGGAGGCTCGGTTGGGATCCCCAGAGTTTCTGCGTCTGGTCTCTTTCCTCTGGTTTGTCCCTGGACCTCGAGAAGGTCCGAAAGGTTTCTCTGCAGACGTTCGTTGATCTTGGCACGAAAGATCTGCTGTCTGGGCAGCTGCGGTGAAGCCATCAGGGCCAGGAGGTTGCCCGCCCCCAGCTGGACGCGGTCAGCGATGCGCGCGCGGCCTTGCGCCGCAAGGGGGGCAATCTCCAGGCTAGCCTTCTCGCCACACACGTGGCTGGGGGCCTTGTTACCCAGTCCGTTCTGCATCAAAACCGTAGGGTCACCGACCAGAGGTGTCAGTTGTGTTTTGGAGCGCGCGGAACCCTACAGCACCGTCTCTTTGTCTGCGATGGATTGCATGCACGAGGGTCGTTGCAAGCTTGGTTTTGATGAGGAGCTGCGGGGATGGGGGAGGGCGGAGGAGGAAGACACCTTTTTCTCTCCCGCTGCCTCCTCCCTGTTCCCATCAAGCCCACCCCTCGCCTCCAGATCGCAGGCGCCTGGAGGTGGGGCGTTCGCCCACCAGGAGGCGAGCTTCAAGGCCGCGCGTGCTCCGATGGATCGGCCCTCTTTCCCGACCTCCCTCTCTTCACGGTAGCTGCCTGGGCGGTCGTGGTGCTCGACGGAGGGGGTGATGTTCTAGGCACGACCAGCGGACCGCTTCCGCACGCGCTGTACTCTATTTATGGGGCCGAGGTGTTCGCCATCCTCATGGCTCTCCGTCTCTCGGGCCCAGGCGATGTTGAACTTGGTTGTGACTGTCAGTCGGCTGTTCTGACCTGGGACCGAGGGGCGGAAGCAGATGTCTCGAATTTGCCTTTTGCTGAGTTCTGGGAAGAAATCAATTTTCGGCGACGCGACCGAGGCGATACGTTTCGTGTTTTCCATGTCCCCGCTCATAGGTCCTGGCCAAAGGCTTTCTCCCTGGGAGTGTCTTTCTGGGCTTGGAAGGGGAACCGAGTTGCTGATCAGGCAGCTCGGAGGGCCGCCAGCGACATTCCCATGCCAGTGGCTCTCCGCGACCAGTTTGTCGAGCAGAGGAAGCGCCTGCAGGTTTTAGCCCGCTTCACTGGTGCCATGCTCGAGGTTGCAGGGAGGCCCAAGTTTCGTGATGTCTCTAAGGTCGTTGCTAAGAAGCCCCGACCCCCAGGGACCCAGCTCATGCTCTGCCCCGATCCCAACGGGCATGTCTTGGGGCGTTGGGGGAAGGGCTGGCTGTGTGCGATCTGTCTTGACCGTGGTCGAAGTTGGACCCACCTGGCCAGCTATAAGTGTTCAGGTTTGCCCAGGATTTGTCGCCAGGCTCATCGCTCTCACCGCTTGTGGGGAGGCGACCCGGGCGCGGCTCTTCCTATCATTTGGTGCTCCAGGTGTGGCAGCTATGCCAGGCATCGAATGAATATGCTGGCTGATCCTTGTTATGGGAGGCCCCGAAATGACGCTACAGGAAGGTCTCTTGAGATGCTGCGCCAGGGTGTGGACCCTACCACTCGTGCAAGTTTCGGCCGCAGCGTCCCACTTTGGACCGAAAGAGGTGCAGGCCGCCATGCGGTGGCTGCGCCCACCTCCTCGGCCGAGGCTTCGAGTCATGAGGGGCCCCCACAGGAGCCTTACGGGGGCGTTGGCTCCCCTGCCAGGGCTACCACTTAAGGGTGACTTCGGGTCCCTTCAGCGGCGGCCCAGGCGGGGGAGGGCAGCGCCTCGGTCAGGGTCCTCTCTCCCTTTCTCCCCCCTTTTTTTGTTTCTTTCTTTCTGGCCTAGGTTCTGCGCCGCCTCGGCACCGCGGATCCTCGGCTGATGGTGAAACTGGTGAAACAGGAGGAGGAGGAGAAGGAGGAGGAGGAGCAGGAGGGGTGTGGAGGAGGAGGAGGAGGAGGAGGAGGAGGAGGAGGAGGAGGAGGAGGAGGAGGAGGAGGAGGAGGAGGAGGAGGAGGGGGAGGGGGGAGGAGGAGGAGGAGGAGAGAGGAGGAGGAGGGAGGAGGAGGAGGAGGAGGAGGAGGAGGAGGAGGAGGAGGACGACGAGGAGCAGGAGGAGGGGGAGGAGGAGGAGCATGGCCCCCGTGCTTCCCAGTCGTTCGCACCGCCGAGGATCCGCACGGCGGGCACCCGCCGTCCCAGGGCGCCGTGGGAGCCCAGAGGGCGGGAGAAGACCGCGGAGGAGGAGGGAGGCACTGACGGGGGCCCAAGGACACACAAAGTCGGGATAGCAAAGGAAGGGTTTGAAAATCAGCTCACGTAGCTGATTTTCCCGGCGCCTCCCAGCGCCGGAGGCGGCTATGTATCGAGGAATGGGCCCCTCGGTGGGGCCGAATCCAGCTGCATCTTTCCCTATCCCCCCTTTTCGTCCGGCCCGACAAAGAAATATATACAGAGAGCAGAAACTCAACTCCGATAAGAACCACCCCGACACGCGAGGCCGCTTCGTAAACTCACCAACAGAAGGAATCAAACAGGGCAGGGCTGTCTAGTCAACGCCCAAGGCCGTTTGGTAAACGCCACTTGTCAGGTCCGGGTGGTTTTCCCTCCCTTGAGAAGACACACGTCCCAAAATCCCCCGTATGTTTCCATGTTTCCTCGGTTTCCGTCTCCCCCCCAACACTGGCCGTAGTTCCCATATCTTCCCGGGGATCGACGATTCCTGGTGTATGTGTGTTTTCGTTTCCCTCCTCAAGCATGCTCGGCAGACCGAGGCGGAGGGTGGGGAAGCCTTTGCGGGGGCCTCCGTGGACCCGCGCGGCCCTATCAGGAACGTAACTTCGGCCCGATTTCGTCCAAATTTCGACCACCCCTCTTCATCCTCTCGTCCAGATGTCGTCCGAATGTTGACCAAATCCGACAAACTCAGGACGAAATCCCAAGACGGCTCCGGTGAAAGCTCACAGTGGGAATCTGGAAGAATAATAGGACCCTCTGCCCTGAGGCTCCCACGAAGGACCACACGACGGAGGAGTCTTACGCGGAGGACGTGGCCGATTCCGTAGACCCTACTAAACCCAAACATATCTCTTAGGAGGTCAACTTTGCTTCCGCCGGCCACCGCTGGCGGAGGCAGCCTCGTTTTACTTCCGACGTCCTTTCGCCGCGGAAAAGATGCAAATTCTTCAACCCTCGAAAGCAAGGCCCTTTCCGGAACGCCCCACGCGGCGCCCCTACTACGCAGCGGTCTGCGCAGGGCAGCATCGCGGCGCTCCGCGCGGAGAAGATGGCGCTTCACCGCGCGGCCTTGCGCGGGAAGCCTGCACGCCAAAGGTCCGATCAGTCGGCCTCGTTGCGTAACTTGGGAGAGGTCAGGTAGCGCAACAGAGGCGGTCCTCTCCACGCATTTCGGCGGCAACCGAGGGGGGGAATGAGAAGGAGAAGGCCCTCTCAGAAGGCAGGGGGGCTTCTCAGAAGCCATCCAGCTGTCTGAGAAACACTTGCATGTCTTCATCGGGAGCGGCCAAGAGGGGGGTGTCCAAGAGGGGGGGGTGCAACTCATGACTGGCGGCATGTGCGCGGCCCAGCGGGGGGGCCAGGGACATAATGAAATAAGAAGAGGCGCCATGAAATCTGGTGAAATATCATGGCCCACGCCATGATATCCACCCCCCCCTAGTCATCACCCCCCTCTTTTCCGCCCCCGACTTCAGGAAGGATCAGACAACTGTTCAAAGGCCGGGGGACGTCCAAGCCGTCTGAGAAGGCCCGCCCCTTCTCACTTCCCCCCCCCCCTGGGCTGGCCGCCAAGCATTGCACTGGTTATGCGCGGATATCACAAACAGCAGACGTACCAGAGTTGAACACCCCTTACGCTAGACACAGCTGCGGAGGTCTTATCGACGATAGGGTCGAATCTCCCCACAGCGAGGAGTGTAATGTACAACTCCCTGCATGCATCAACATTCACAACGCATAGAATCCACTGTTCATCGCATCGATCGGACATTCGGATTGGGTGGAGGTGGTTTGGTAAGTACCGCCGGACCTAGGACTGAAAAACATTATTTTCAAGAACATCATACCCTCCGCCAGCCGAACTGAAGATCATTCGAGGGTGCTGTCCCCCAAGATGCACAAGAACATCAAACAGGCACGAACAACAACAGGGGTTACCCTCCCCGAACCGACCTCGATCTCATACCTCGGTCCGACTGTAGTCAACTGTTCATCGCATCGATCGGGCCTTCGGATTGGGTGGGGGTGGTTTGGTACGTAGTGAAGAAGCCTGCCGGGCGAGGGCTTCCACGTGCGTGGGGAGCGTGGCGCTGAACATGGCGACCTGGCCGCGGGTTGGCGAGGGGAGCGGGTGCGGCGGGAGGGGCCCCGTGCGGCCCGGGCGAGGGCGGCAGCAGCGGCGGCGGAGGGGCACGGATGGAGGAGAGAAGAACAAGTCAGGACGCATCTCCTAGGAGGTCTTCGAAAGAACGATGACGGGCAATTGAACCCCATTTTAAGGAGTCGCCGAGCCGGGCTTGGCCGGACTAAGTCAGCGGCGATGATGAACTCAACCTCCCTGGAGTTGCGTCCTGAGAGAAGGGAGAGGAAGGGGGGACATGGAGAATGGGAGATAGGCGGAGCCGAGGATTTGGGGGAGCGGGAGGAAGAGGGAGACGGAATCTGTTTTTGCAACACGCTGCTCCAGCGACAGACTGCCGAGGCGTCTGAGGAGGGAATATTCCGGGGCACAGATCGAAAAGGAGGGGGGGGGGAACGGGGGGAGACGAAGGGAGGAGGGTTCCTCCTGATTCTGCTCCTCCATCTCTTCCTCATCTCCATCCTCCCTCCCGTCCTTCCGCCCGCAGCCATCTTGGCTCAAGATGTTACGCCCTGCGGTAATCACGCCCAAGGCAAGAACATATACATCTGAGCAGAACTTCTCACCAGAGCCAGCCGTGTCGACGAGGAGGCCTAGACAAAAACCACGGGCGCCCAACAAAAACACGCATCCTCGAGCCTCAAGCCTCGATCCTCCTCCTCCTGTTTCTCCTGCTTCTCCTCCTCCTCCTACTCCTTCTCCTCCTCCTCCTCCTCCTCCTCCTCGTCCTTCTCCTCCCCCCCTCCAGGAACCCATGCCTGAAGAGCACCCTGAAGAAGAACGCTGCGAGGGTACTGGCCCAAGGGGGGGGACAGCCGTCGACCTGGGATTGCCGAGGCATCGCCGATGGATCGGCGGTGGAAGCACCAAATGGCGAATCTGCGCGTTCCTGGACGGGGTGGGCTACCATTAGGTCGGGCCTGTCCCCACACGCGGGGATTTGGGGCGAAAAATAAAAAACTGAGACAACACTTCAAACATGCTAAAAAATTGTCAAACAATGGTCCCCAGACTTGTTTGACTAGTTTCGAATATTCCTCCTGTAGAGGGACAGGCCCGACGTAAGGCTACCATCGGGGGCGCACAAACATGGATTAGCGATCCATGGATTTGGCGCGCGGTCGCCAGATCCATGGATCGGGGGAAGTACCTTCCCCAAAATGCAGCCATTGCCGCCTCGTTCGGCGGCGGAGATCCGCGATTACCCACGGATGCGGGACCCGTCGCTACTTCACGACCCTTTGACCCATGCTTGCGATCGCCTGACTGTCGGCGGTCCATGGGCGATGGGGGATCGATACATCCCGCTCCCCCTGAGCGTACACGTCGGTCGGAAGAAGTACCGCTTAGAAGCATGAAGTAGTAAGGCGTCGGGAGCAGATTGGGTCTCCGCCCGCCCCCTGAAGAGGAGGGAAGAGGGAAAACTGCTCGACCCGAGATGACGACGACGACGACGACGACGACGACGACGACGACAGGGACGATGACGACGACGACGACGACGACGCCGTGTATTCCTTCCTGACGCTGCCCCGTAGGGTTCGGCTCGTAGTAGCTCGGGCTCCCGACGACGGCCGCTCGGCAAGAACGCGCCGCCCCCCCCCCCCCCTGTAACGCTGCTCCCGGCGAGTGGGGCAGCTGCTGGAGGGAGCGAAGCGGCCCGAGGACGGAAGAGCGCGGTGGACGCGCGAGAGCGCCAGAAAACCTGGAGCCACGAACCCCCGAGCCCAGCATCAGAGGGGAACGAAGGACGACATGAATTTGCAAACTCGGAGGTCCGCACGGATTTCTCGGATCGGCGCTGGAGACCCCTGGCTGCGCCTCTGGCGCCGCCCCTGGCGCGCTCAGCGCGCCAGAGGCGGGGGTCCAGCGCCCATCCGAGAAACCCGCGCGGTCCTCCGAAATTTTATGTTCACGTGATCCTTCGATCCCCTATACCAGAAAACCTGGAACCTCTAGCCCCTGAGTCTCCCCCCCCCCAACGGGCGGTCGGGGGCCGATGATCATCCCTCTGGAGCCCTGCCCCCCTCAACGTCGCCGCCTAACAATACGCGCTCTTTCTTCTTATGGGCTTCGACATCTGGCCGAAGAGTGGGGAAGGGAGGGGCGTCAGGGTATGGGCTGGTGCTTGTGAAGGGGCCCCAGGACACACAAATAAACACACACACACAAATAAAACGATTCCCTGAATTTTCCCATGCTTTTTTCTAATTTTGTCTTCCCCCCCACTTCCCATATTCTCCCATATTTTCCTGGGAGTGGACGATTAATTGTGTCTGTGTGTTTTTTCCCCTCCTGAGCTTGGTGGATCTGCCTCCACCAGTCGTGCCAGCAGGCTGGGGGTGGGGGTCCCCACCAGTCGCCGGAAACCAGCGGCCCAGAGCAGCCAAGATCTGGTCTGTGGAGGGGGGGAAGGGGGGGCGAGATGAGGGGGCCCAGGGACACACAGAAATAGATGGACACAGGCATAACGGGATTCCCTATGCTTTCCCATATCTTCTGGGTTCTCGTCATCTTCCCCCGTATTTTATTATATTTTCCGATACTTTTTCTCGGGGATCGACGGTCAATTGTGCCTGTGTGTGTGTTGTCCCCTCCTGGTTAGAGCCCGCCATGATTAGGGGAACGAAAAATTACATAAACATTAAAACTCTGAGGTCCGCGCGGATTTCTCGGATCGGCGCTGGACCCCCCTCCCTGGCGCGCGGAGCGCGCCAGGGGCGGCGCCGGAGGCGCCGCCGGGGGTGCCCAGCGCCGATCCGAGTTCAGAAATCCGCGCGGAGCTCCGAGTTTTTATGTTTGTGTCATTGTTCGTTCCCCTAAGGACGGCACCACGAGACATGAAAAAAACGAGTGTCGGGTTTTGCAAAAAAGCCGAACGAAGGATTGCAACGAAGGATTGCAAAAAAACCGAAGGATTGCGAAAAAAACCCTTCGTTTTTTGTTGCAATCCTTCGTTTTGTTTGCAATCCTTCGGTTTTTTTGCAATGAAAAGGGGGGCCACCACGAGACATGAAAAGGGGGGCCACCATTGTACGTTCGCCACCCTAAGCGTCGGGGGACGGCCGCCGACCTGCTTGTCCGGCCGCGTCGCCTGCAGGAACATCCCGATCTGCGGCTCGAAGCCCATGTCGAACATCCGGTCCGCCTGCGCCCCGCTCCGCGCCCCGAGGGGGGGGGGGCGAGGACCTCGAGGATCGAGGATCGAGCATCCTCGCTCCTCGAGGATCGAGGACCTCGAGGATCGAGGATCGAGGTCCTCCGTCCTCGATCCTCGAGGACCTCGAGGATCGAGGACCTGAACCCAGAGGACTCCCAACTGGGATCCGAGCAGCTGGGGTCGGAGGATCGCGCCGCATCGGCGCTGCATCGGCGAGGCATCGGTGTTGCATCGGAGTCGCAGGCGGTGCATCGGCAACGTCCGTGCGGAGAGAAAATCGGGCTCCACATCGAGCCGCATCGGCGATGCATCGGTAATCGTGGTGGTCGGGACATGCATGTCCAAATTGGTTTCAGATGGTCGCGGGGACCGTGCTGGAGCCCTCCTGGGCGACTACTGGGCCGTCTTGGAGGTCGTGGAACGCGGCCCACGACGTCAACATCGTCAAAATCTAATGGTGTTTTGTATGGTGCTCGCGCATTGCAGCCTTCTCAGTCTCCAGAGCGTCCAAGACTGCTCAACAGGCACCCGGGCCAAGATCGCTTCAAAAACGGCCCGAGGGCCCCCAAGAGGGGCCCAAGAGGCCTCCCAGACGGCCCCAGGAGGGGCCCAAGACGAGGAACACGAGCCGTCACTTTGAGCCCTCCGCCCCAGGCCTTTGCGGCAGCGGGGCGGCGCAGCGCTGCTGGAGAAGCTCGAGCCTCTCCCCGGCCAGTGCGTCCCGAGCGGAGGGAGGCGGCGCGCCAAGCGGCCGCCGGGCGCTTGGCTGCTGCCCAGAGCCGCGTCGAAGCGCTGGAAGGCCCGTCGCAGGCGCTCGAGCGAGGTGCAGCTCGGCGCCGAGCGCGCACGGCACGCAGCGGCCGGGGCGCGGGCGGAGGATCTGGCCGCAAGGCAGGGCGACATCGCGGAGCCCGACGAGGCCCGCCACGGCGACCCGGTCGCCCGCAGGGCCTCAGCTGAGGTCGGGCATGTCCTCCTACAGGCGGACCTTGGGCGGAAAATAAAACATAGCCCCCAGACTCACAGAACCGTCCCCAGGCTGCTTCTAGACTCACAACATCGTCCCTAGACTATTTTGGGACTATTTTGGAATGCTCCTCCTGTGGAAAGAACAGGCCCGACTGCAGCCCAGGCGGCGCCAGTGCTGGAAGGCACGCTGGCCAGGCAGCCCGCGCAGCAGGTGCCCAGGCCGCGTCTGCAGCGCGCCAGGCTGCACGGCGTGGGGGCTGCACGGCGCTGCGCGCCGTGGTGCGAGCACCGCTCGCATGCGCCAGCCTGCCCCCAACTGATGGGCCTGTTTTCCACCACCACCACCACCAGAAGAAGTTGGAGGGGGGAAGGAGGAGGACGAGGAGGAGGAGGAGGAGGAGAAGGAGGCGGAGGCGGAGGAGGAGGAGGAGGAGAAGGAGGAGGAGGAGGAGGAGGAGGAGGAGGAGGAGGAGGACCCCCTCCCCCTCCAACTTATCGTGGTGGTGGTGGAAAACAAGCCCATCACCCAACTGCCGGCACCGGCGTGGGGAGGCGGTGGCGCAGGCAGGTGATCGGACGAGGGCCTGCGAGGCGGCGGCGAGGCGCAGCAGCCGGCAGAACCAGGCGGAGCGTCTGCGTGGCCGCCGTGGCGTCGGCGGCCCTGCAGCAGGCTCGGCGGCCGAGGCGGCGCCGCTCGACCGGGAAGAGGCGGGGCCTGGTGGAGCGGCTGCGCCGTGCGGCGGGCCCGCAGGCGCCGCCCCCTCGCGGGGTCGGCGCTCCGCTGGCGGCGCGAGAGGGGCATCTGAGGGCGAGCGCGCCTGCGGTCTTGGCTGGCCGTGTCGGCGCGGGCGCTGCCGCTGGGGGCAGTGGGACGTCGTCCGACGCGTCGCCCGACGGCCACTCCGACGTCGACCCCCACGTCGCGCCCCGCAACCCTCACCGCCCTGCCCAGCGTGGTGTCGGACGTGCGGCAGCCCCCCATCGTGTCGAACGAGCAGAGCGGCGTCGAGGAGGTGGAGCCCGAGGTGGAGCACGACGCAGAGCAAGACCAGGAGAGATGCTCTTTACGAAGGTCGTGGCCGTGCCCAAGGTCCAAGTGCAGGAGACGCACTGCATGGAGAAGGTCGCGAGTGCCGTCGGCAATGTGCGGCTCATGGTGCTGCAGCGGCACATAGCGGCGAGCGGCGACGTCTCTACCCTCGCAGCCGACTGAGACGTTCGGAGGCCAGGATTAGGAGCATGGAAGCCCGACGCCAACATCACAATGGACCACCAACGGGAGGAGCCAGGGAGGGGTCCCCTGGTGGTGTGGTCCCCGTCTCGCTCGGAACATCCCTTTTATCCCACGCTCTGCAAGGCATCGTGGACCTCCTCGCTGGAGGTAACCCCTGGCGGTAAAGACGCAGCTTCTCCCAAGGATATCGCGCGCCCGGAGGAGGAGGACGGGGAGGAGGAAAAGGAGGAGGAGGAGGAGGAGGAGGAGGAAAAAGAGATGGAAAAACGACACTGACTACATACCAAACCACCCCAACCCAACCCGAATACCCGAATTTCGGGTGTGGGGAGGTAGCTACGGGCCTCGTAAAAAGATGTTTGTTTTATGCTTAATATTCCCCGACCCCCTTCCCACACTATCTTGCATTATTGCTCAACCGCAAACGCTCACCAGCTACCGCAGCTCCGCTTTCGCATGGAATCCGCATCCCTTCAAAAGGGTTTTGGCGGAACCCAACGTAAAGCTCAGAACCGCGACAAGACGCTGCGAACATGTAACGAAATCCGGCCCGCAACTAAAAACGAACGCAGGGACGAGGAGGAGGAGGAGGAGGAGGAGAAGGAGGAAAAGGAAAAAAGGGAGGATGAGGGAGAAAGAAGGGGTAGGGTGCCCAAAAGCAACGGGCGCAGCGTTCTGGCCAACCTGCGACAGGCGAGCCATCGCGCGCGACCCGCGAATAACCACGTAAACTTCGGGGGGGGGGAAGAGGAGGAGGAGGAGGAGGAGGAGGAGGAGGAGGAGGAGGACGAGGAGGAGGGAGGAGGAGGAGGAGGAGGAGAGGAGGAGGAGGAGGAGGAGGAGGAGGAGGAGGAGGAGGAGGAGGAGGAGGAGGAGGAGGAGGAGGAGGAGGAGGAGGGGGGGGAGGGGGAGGAGGGGGAGGAGGGAAGGAGGGGAAGGAGGAGGAGCGGGAGGCAGACAAAAAAGAAAGAATCGACCAGCTCACCGATACGAATTGTCCAATGAAACGTATAAGTCTGAATGGGCACTTGCTACGTGCAAACCCCTGTATCCCAAGCGGCGAGAATTCAAATCCAAAGAAGCAGGCGACTGGAGGAAGGGAACGCGGAGGAGACGAAGAGGAAGAAGAGACACACTCCCAGGCCGTGCCCAAGGGGGGCTACACCTGGCGAGGGGGAGCCTCACGAATATGTGATACTCATGCGAAGCAAAGCGAACTACCTGAAGTCCGAACATGCGTAGGGGGGCGGATGGGGGGATGAGCGGAAACTAGCGAGCATGAGCAGCTACACTGTTTGCCCATGGGCGATCCGTGCCCTGGATCCCTTCGCGCGCGTATTCACGATATGCGGCCGCGATGTCCGTGACCTCCAAATACCAATGCTGACGCGCACTGTGCGCCTGGTAAAGGCTGTAAATATGGAGGGCCCACTGCACAATCGCACCTGGGTCTAGCCTCGGAGCTCCCAGATTCAGGAACCAGTCCAGGGCGAGCGCAGCTGGAGAATGGGCGGCGCCAGAGAAGGCGCGCACGGCTGGGCAGGTGGCTGGGTGGCGAAGGCTATCCAAACATGCGCGGCAGCCGAAACGGCAGGATCCACCGCCGCCAAATCGCGCACTCGCGCACCAACCGTGGCACCACAGTTATGATCTGGTGTGTCTCAGAGAACCGCCATCCGACCTCAAAACGCCTAAACGCCCCCAAACCATACCCAGAGCGCATTTCAGTGTTGCCAACATAATGACCCAAAACCACACCAGAAGTAGCCAAAAAACACCGTACGTTTAAACAAAAAAACATTAGATTACGTTCCAGAGTTGTACAACAAGCGCGTGTAACATTACAAGTGCTGCAGCGCATAATGCATGCGAACAGAGTTGCATTACGCGTGGCCGAGGTGCACCCCAGAGCGTTACCGACCTGGCTGCACGACAGCATTTCGGTACATTGCGCAATGCTGGTTGTGTAGAAAGCAGCGCTGTTTTCCAGGTCATCTTGAACGGGCCATCCGCGCCGCTCCAACCACATCACCATTGAGCGCGTCTTGCGTCGGTCGTTTGCCTGCCCGCGCGGGGCCGATTGTTGACTCAAGAGAGCCCTGGGGCACCACTGAGGGCATCGGTAGGCTCGATGGCCAGGCGCGCCCGAACAACAGGCCGACACGAAACCCGCAACCATGCAGGAAACACTCCGAGAATTGCAATGGCAGCCCCGACCCTCCAAGGTCCCGAGGGAGCTTTCACGAGGACCACCGCGAGACCCACTAGAGCCCCATAGATTGGACTGCGTAGATTACTGCACATAGATTGCACCACTACGTTGCAACACATGCATTGCACCACATAGCTTGCACCACATAGAGTGCTATAAAGATATTGCACTACGTAGCTTACATAACATTTGTTTCACCACAAGGACTGCACCAAATATCTTGGCCCACGTAGATTGCACCACATAGCTTCCACCATATCGGTATCACCACATAGACTGCACTGACATAGCTTACACTGCCTAAACTGCACTGCGCAGGTTGCACCACATAGATTGCACCTAGATTGCACCGCATAGATTGCACTGGCATGGCTTACACCACCTAGATTGCACCCCATAGGTTGCACCACATATGTTGCACCACCTAGACTGCAGCACATAGGTTGCGCCACATAGGTTGCACCACATAGGTTGCACCACATCCTCCTCCGCCTTCGAACTCACCTCGGGAAGAGGATAAGGATTAAGGGGAGGGAGGAAGCAGCCAGGGCTAGATTTTTCATCAAAAGTGAAGGCGTGCCCCCAGTCGGGGGAGTGTTTGTAGATCTCTCGCTTGCCGCTTCCCCGTTTGGCAAGCTCCCTCGCTTCCAGCTGCCAAACGCAGCTATCTGACATTGGCTAGCGTGTAGTGGCTATCTACCAGACTGGCTGCAAAGAGTCCGCGCTGGCCCATTGTCTCACGAGATCATTATCATCGCCATTGCCTTTTTCTCGATCTCCAGAACTGCTGGAACCACCTTCGCCCATATCTGCAACTGCTTGTCATCCCACAGGTCGTAAGTCGAAGCCTTCTTCTTGTAGCCGCCGATCGCTGTTTTCATCTGCACCAGGTTGCCTTTCAACGCATCGACGGCACCGATGACCTTACCCTCAAAGATCGTCGTAAGCGCCCTCTGCACAACGTTGAACGCATCGACCACGAACTGATCTGTTGGGAACCCTGTCTGCGAACGGCCCGCCTCGAGGATCGTCTTCCTCTCCTTCAACTGATTCCACTTCTCTTCCACCTGAGCAGTGAGGTCCACCAACGTCTTGGCTGCAATGTTCCCGAGCGTCTTGTCGTAGCACGCTTTCGTAGCAGCAAGCCCGTTCTTGTCATCTGGCTTGAGCTTGTCCGACCAGGTCTTACCGTCGCAGCCGCCTGCCCAAGTCGTCAGAACCTCAGCGTCGCCAGAAAAGTCATCGACCCTGAGCTTATTGTGGTTCAGCCCCTGGTCGACGATGTCACTGATGAACGCATGCATGCTCGTCAAATACACGTGGATGCCAGCAGTGCTGATGGCGGCGCCTTTCTGTGTCAAGTGCACGCCCAATGCGTCGAGCTTCGTGTTGGAGGGGCCGACGAGCGCGATCATCTCCTTCACCTCCTCCAGCGGGATCTTCTTCGCGAGGTCCTCGACCGAGCTCCCGCGCTTCATTTCAGTTGCATGGCGACGCTCGGCCAGGCCGAACGCCTCGCCGAACACCTCGGGGAACGAGCTGACGGAGACGCCCTTCATGGAATGGGTGCTCGCTGGAACCCACGGCTTCAGCAAGTGCAGGTTGGTGACCAGCGACTTGGTGCAAGCGGCATCCGCGAAGCCGTCAGGGCCACAGAGAGACGCGACGATGCCGTCGACCATCGTGAAGGTGGCTGAGTCCACGCCCAGCGCGCTGAGCTTCGGGTACTGGTGCAGCCCTTTCGCGGCCGTCAACGCTACCCCTAACGCATCCTGTTTGGCCACGAATCCCTCGAAGCTGGTCGTCGCCCCGGCGGCCTCGCACGCCGCCTTCAGATCCTTCAGCAACGTCTCATTCGCAGCCCCCGCTTTCCTATCCCGCACGTCCTCCATGGCATGCTTGAACTCGCCATCCGAAGGGAAAAGATGCACTGCCACCACGAGGAACGTCTCATACTTGCGCAAGTCGCCCAACGGCCCATCTGCAGAGCTCAGCTTCTCGTGAATGGATGCGAGATTGTGCTTTGCGCAGTCCCTCATCGGACCCATGATGCCATCGAACGCTTCCTCAGACAGCTCGCCCTTCAGCATGTAGATGCTCTCCATGTACGTCTTGAACGTGTCCAGGGGTGCGGCCGTTGCACCTGGCGCCAATGCGGTCTTGATCTCCTGGATGCGGGGCTCAGCCCTCTCGCGAGGCTTCTGGTACTTCAGGTAGTTAGCCTTCTGACCATTCCAGCATGGCTGTGAGCGGATGGTTGCGGCCAGCGATTGGACTAAGGTGTGCTGCTTCGGCGGCGTCGCCAGGTCGGAGAAGTCACCGTGGGACCCGCCGCCGTCCACCGTCTGGAACATCACCACCAGGATCCTCCTGAAGCACGTGAGCAGCTCGGTGACCACATTGGCCAATGTCTCTTCCACGCCATCGTCTGGCATGTTCAGCAAGTCGGCCAGGAAGCCCTTGAAGAAGTTGATCACCTGCTGCGCGCCGCTCTGGCCGATCTTAAGCATCGGCGCCAATATGACCTTAACTACGGTCGCACCGAACTTCAAAGCTTTCTCCGCGTCGGAGATGTCCAAGGCACGCACGTTGGAGTTCGTCGGGTCGTACGTGCACGCGAAGGGCCCCATTCCACCTTTCTCTTTCCCCGAGGATTTGTCATTCGCCATCGCCCTGTCCCAAAGGAACACGATGTCCATGATATCTTTAATATTGTTGTAGCTATCTGGGCCCTCCTGCCAGATCTTGACGCGCCTGTCGAGGATGTACTACTTGGCAACCGCGGGGATCTCTTCTCCAGAGTTGAGCAAGTCCTCGCAGGTCTTGTTGTAATCAGTGAGGCTGACATCGAAGACGCCGCCGCGATGAAACCGCGTGCGCTTGGCCGCCAACTCTATCTCCTCCTGCAGCATATCACCGTCGGGTGCGTCAGGCTCCTTCTGCAGGAACTCCCTGGCGTTCCGCATATGGGTGTCCTTCTTCTTGTGGTCCAGGATGGCCCAGATGCTCAGCTTCGCCATGTGTTCCTCGGCGTTCCTGGCGGGCGGGCCGTCGTCGAGATCATCACCTGCCCCGCCGTAGGCGGAAGAGGGGCCGCGCTGAAAGGATTGTTTGCGACCAGACCGACTCCCCCCGCCCAGCACCGATACGACCTCGCTCTTGGCACCCTTGGCAGGAGTGGTCAGGCCCGCAAATTGCGCCGTCGCCTTGGGAATCCACCGAGAGATCCGCCAGGAAATGGCGCGCGTTGGAGGCAGGCTCGGGGCTACCGCCCCCGCCAGGCCCACCTGGCCTCCCGCTGTCGCCCGACCCGCCGCTGGCGTCGCTGTTGCCCGAGTCGCTGCTTCCGTCATCATCAGCATCAGCAGCAGCACCGCCATCGGGTTGAGGCTGAGGGACCCTGGCGGCCTTCTTCCTGATCTCCTCCTCGGTGAGCGCTTTCGCGAAGCCAAGCGCGCTCTCGTCGAGAACCCTCTCCGTCTCGTTGTCGTAGAACATCCCGGCCTCATTCTCGAACACCGCCCTGGTCTTCCAGACGTTGTCTTTCTTGGTAACCTCTTCGGCCCTCTCAATGTCCATCTCCACGTCTGGCCTCGCTGGGTTCCTCACCAGGTAGACGCTCCGAGCCTTGCCATCGAGGTCAGTGACGCTCGTGGGTTTCACTTTGAGCGCGTGGGGGGAGACGCCGAACTTGGCCTTGAACTCGCCGTGCTTGAGGGGGAGGAAGGACATGCGGTACACGACGCGGAACCTCTTGTTGGATGTCACCTCCCCCTCGCCGACCGTGAGCGAGATGGACCCGTCTGCCTCGGCCTTCATGCCGTTGTTCCAGCACTCCTTGAAGCAGTCGTCCTCTCGGTACATCTTCACGGCATCTGCCCTCGGGATGTAGCCGTGGTGGTTCTTCCAGTGGCGGTAGCACTTCATGCAGGCGTCCTTGTCGAAGTACTGCGGGCAGGGCGCAATTCAAACATGAAATGGAAGCGGACTTAGGGGAGGGAGGGAGTTGAATTGGCAAGTCTTCTGGTCTCACATCCAACGCGCACCGATTTTTTCTCTCGAAGCCTCTGGAATGCGGCCTCTGGAGGCCTCGAAACAACGCTCCGAGAGAGCGCCCATTGTGTCACAAGTCACAATGATGGCAGCCAAGACCCTGCCAGCTCCAAAAAGCTTCGAGAGGGTCCACACGCGCTCCAAGACGGGCCACCATGGCCTCAAGACGGCCCAAGCTGCTTCAAGACGGCTTTCGACGATGACTCTAAGGCGGCCCGAGGGGCCCAAGAGGCGCCAGGAGGGCCCCAGCACGGCTCATGAGGCCCCCGAGAGAACTCCGAGACTGCCCAGAACGGACTAAGAGGCTCCAGGACGGCCCCAGACGTTCGAAAAGCTATAGAAGTGGCCTCCAGAACGCTTCAACACAGACCAGGAGACATCCAGGACGCCCCAGGAGAGCGGCCCATGACGGCCCAAGATACCCCCAATACGTCCCAAGGGAGGCCCGAGAATCTGGTCCCAAACCAGTCGAGGTACCGGTTTGAGGCGCGCGACTGCCGCAAACAACTTGACACCCCTAAGACCCTTCCAAAACGGCCCAGGGGAAGCCAGCAAAGGGCTTCCATACGGCTCAAGAGGGTGCCCCGCGCCCGTTGTTTGGACCCTTTCCCCTGGTCTCCTGGCCGCCGTCCTGGCACTCGCCGCAGAAGTCGCACTTCGGCTTCCTCTTGCCGCGGGAACCCCTCGTCGTGCCCGCGACAGACGGAGCCGCCGCCGATGGTGCGCGCGCCAGGTGCGCGCTCTAGGCTTCTTGGGCTCAGCCTTCTTCGGGGGCTCGGAATCTGACGCTGGTTCAGGTCGTTTCTGGCCCCTGCTGCCGCGGCCGCGACCGCTGCCCCCCATGGCCCCGTTCAGACTCTGGCTCCCGCCACGCGGGGGTTCGGCCCCGAGCGAAACGATGGTGTCGTGAGAACTCTAGGGCCGAAACGCCTATGAGCAGTCGCCACTGCCGCGTCGAATGCGCAACCAGACTCGTTTGGGGTCGGTCTACAGGAATGGCACCTTAGCTTAGCTGTGGACCCCAAACAGCAGAGACCACAGACAGCGAGGACCCCAAACAGCGTGGACCCCAAACAGCAGAGACCCAACACAGAATTTATGGACTCCGAACAGCGTGGGCCCCAGACAGCAGGGACCCCAAACAGCATGGACCCCAAACAGCGTGGACCCCAGACAGCATGGACGACCACAGACAGCGTGGACCCCAAACAGCGTGGACCCCAAACAGCAAAGACCCCAAACAGAATTGATGGACCCCAAACAACGTGGACACCGGACAGCAGGGACCCCAAACAGCATGGACCCCAAATAGCGCGGACCCCAGACAGCATGGACCCAGACAGCGTGGACCCCAGACAGCGGGATGATTATAGCAGTGGTGGAGGTAGTCGCAATGGCGATGGTAGTTGTGAGGGTAATGATGATGGTTATGGTGATGGTGATGGTACTGGTGCGATGATAATGTTATTGGTGATGGCAATCACAGTAACGAGAGCGGTGAAGATGAATGTAGTGGTGATGGTAAGTGTAATTGTGATGGTGACGGTGATGGTAGTGGTGATGAGAGTTGTGCTTATCGTGGTTGAGTTCGACGGTAGTGGTGACGGTAGGTGTAGTGGTGATGGTAGTGGTTATGATGGTAGTGGTGCTAGTGGTGATGGTATTGCTGTTGATGATGGTAGTGGTACTGTGGTGATGGAGGCGATGATGACGGTCGTGGTGAGGATGACGGTGGTGGTTATGTTAGCTGTGATGCTGGAGATGGTGGCGGTGGTGGTATGGAGGGCCGATGGCAGTGGCGATGATGACGGCAGCGGCGGTTGCGTCGCCTCTGCACCTCCTATCCAGGAGGCGACGGCGATGAAGACGACGACTGCATCGCTCGCCATCTTTTCTCCGCGGCTTCCAACAGAAGGGGCGTGCAATGCGCGCCAAGTGCTGGCTCATCACGCGAATGCCTTACTCGAGTCAGGCTGTGTGGTTATCTCTCTGCTGGAGATGCCCCTATACACGAACGCTTGCCCACGATGGCCCTACGCTGAACGCAGCCCATACACGGCATCAGCGGCAAAGGGGAAGCGTATATTGAGGGCTACTGATCCTGTGGGAGGTCAAGTGGGAGGTCCCTGATCCTGTTTAGATGCTCCAAGTCATTCTGGGCCGCCACGTCGTCTGCTGTCAGGGCTACTTGCGACGCGTTAGAGATCGCGTTCAACCTGGTGCGCATCACGCGGTTCCTGACTGAGAGACGCCAAGTCTTGAGCTTCTGGAACTTGAGCTTCCTGAGCAGCGTGAGAAAGCGCTTCTTGAGCACGCGATCCTCGATCCGATCAACCCAATTTGGGCGCCCTATGGGCTGAAGCTGGTGCTTCGGTGGCATCGCAGAAAGCCGAACTACAAATCTGGCCGATACGTTCCGCGCGCGCTCGGCTCTGAGCCAACTCAGCTCTTGAAACAGACTGGGTTGCGACCGACTCTTCAGAGGCAATGGCAATGGCGATGCTTGTGACGAGTGCCCCGTGATCCAGTAGCGATGGTGATGGCGGTGATGGCAGTGCAGTAGTGATGATGATGGTAGTGGTCATTCGTTGTGGCGATGGTCGCAATGGTGGTGATTGTGATGGCGGCATGCTTGTGGCCAAGATGGTAGTAGCGGTGATTGTGATAGTGGTGATGGCGATCGTAGTGGCAATGATGAAGATGGTAGTTGTGATGGTAGTGATGATGATGATGGTAGCGATGATGGTAGTGACGACGACGACGATGATGATGATGACGGTAGTGCCCGACTACGACAACAGCTTGAACATGATGTTTTCTCTGAGGTATCCGACGGAGCACCAGTGGCTACTGGCAAACGTCGGCTCTCACGGCCGATACTGAGGTCGGCTCTAGGCGCGCAAGATACGAAAATAACAACGAATTGAGCACAGCAAGTCCCGACCCTCGAAAACGGGATCGGCCCGAGTTTGGAAGATCAGTACGACTGCGACTCCTGGCTGACATCCACCACATGGCTGCTAACGTCAGCAGGGTTGATGCCAATGCGACGGAGAATGTCATTGAGCGTCTTCCTGGCGGGGGCGTCATCCGAATCCTCGAAAAGGCCGTCGTTCTTATCCTTCGAGTTCTTGGGAGATGCGGGCAAGGGGATATCCTCCTCTAAGATCTGCGACGCGAGGGCGAGACGGGAACTCTCTCGAGCGACGTCTGGCGGACACGATTCACCACCGTGGCCGTGAAGAGCCTCGTCGAAGCCCGTGAGGAGCGACGCGCCCGCGACCGTGATCTCGTCCGTGCCCTCCACCACCGTGGGCGTCGCACCCTGCTCTGGCAACACGGTAACTGCTCGCGGCGGGGCCTCCAGCGCCACCTCCTTCTCCTTGGTAACGTCCTTCTTCTCCTTGGCAACATCCTCTTGCGACGAGTTTATCTCCTCGCCTTCCTCTGCCTTGCTCACTGGAGAGCACCTCCGCACTTTCATAGATCCCTTCTCCTGAGGCGGCGTCGGCTTCGGGCTGTCATCCCTCAGGCGCTTGAGCAGATCGCGCCGCTTCTGCGATGTGTCAGCGGGCGGATCCCGCTTGGACCGAAGCTGGATCACTAACCTCTGCTTCTGTACCACCTCGTACTCCACCATGACATCTTTTTGGTAATTCCACGGCAAATCGTCCGAACGGTAAGTGACCACCGGTATCCTCTCCCGAATCTTGAACCCTTTTGTTTCCTCAGCCGCTGGTGCCTTCGAAGCCGCTGAAGACGCTGCCTCGGCCATGGCGCGAATGGAACTCGTCAAATATGGAACGCAATGGGAACTCGTCAAGTATGGAACTTATGGGAACTCGTCAAGTATGGAACGTTATGGGAACTCGTCAAGTTCTTGAGATGAAATGGGCGACTGACGGATCGCAAAGATACCCAAACAGTGCTACCTGGCACGGCACGGCACGTAGACTCTAACGGGCACGTAGACCCCAAACAGCTCAACGGACACGTAGACCCCAAACAGCACCACCTGGCACGGCACGGCGCGACACACGGGCAAGGGGAACGCACGATAGCCTACTTGAATAGCACAGCCCCCAAAGAGCCTACTTGAACAGCCTACTTGAATAGCCTACTTGAATAGTTTACTTGAATACCTCCTCCTCACCCGAACCGCTGCCCTCAAACGGAGGGCCCCTGGCATGGCATTCCCACATCCCCAGGCACCAACCCGCGGGGGGCTGGCGGCGGTTGCCGTTTGGCATTGCACGTTCCTCCCCCGTCTCCTCCATAAACCTCCCAGGGACAGAGGCAGCAACGGAGGGCGCGACCTATGGCGCAACCTATGGTGCAACATACAATTAGCCCATGGCTCAACCTACTATTACCCTATGGCGCAACCTACTATGTAGTGGCATTGGTAGTGATGGCGATGGTGATGGCGATGGTAGCGATGCTTGTTCTGAACAGGCCAACGGTTCCAGATATGGCAGCCCCAGTGGTGGCGAAGCCAGCCAGTCTGCAATGCAGCAAGCAAGCCATGATGCCGAAGGCTGACACTCGGCTCGACGCGGGCACAATGTTACAGAACACTGGGAAAACCGAAACGAGATGAGCACGGCAACCTTCTGACAGTCGCCGCGTGGAAAGTGATCGCTCCTATGGCAATCAACCGAACTCGTCAAGTGTGAACTCAAACGAACTCGTCAAACATCAGTGGAGATCTCGCCCTCACTCAGATCCAGTGGAGATCCCATCCGTGTCCGTGGACATCTCGTCCTCCAATCGCTCCAGGATCTGCTGGTTCAGCCTATCGTGGTCCGAATCCCGCGTGATGGCGTTCTGCAAATGGTGAACCCCACCGCGAGCTGCACATTTGAGGCTGCGAAGCCGGGCACCGAGAGTCTTGATCACCATGTTTTTGATCTTGATCTGCTTCATCAGCTTCATGAACCTGAGACGGGTTCTCGGGCTGCCCACTCGAAGCCATTGCGGCTTCTTCGGTGTTTGCAACCATTTCGGTTTCGGCGCCCTCTTCGGAGCCATGAGTACCTCAACGGAACTGGTCAAGTATGGAACTCAACCGAACTCGTCAAGAATGGAACTCAACCGAACACGTCAAGTATGGAACTATGTTGAACTTCACAGACCTCGTCAAGTATGGAACTCTACAGAACTTGTCAAGTATGGAACTCAAAGAATTCGAGATGAAATGGGCTGCGAACGGGAAGCGCTGCGAGAGGAAAGTGATGCAAGCACTGCGAGAGGGAAGTGCAAGCACTGCGAGAGGGAAGTGCAAGCACTGCGAGGGGAAGTAAAAGCACTGCGACAAGGAAGTGCAAGCACTGCGAGAGGGAAGCGCCAGCACTGCGAACGGGAAGCCCTGCGAGAGGGAAGTGCTGCAAGCACTGCGAGAGGGAAGTGCAAGCACTGCGAGAGGGAAGTGCAAGCACTGCGAGAGGGAAGTGCAAGCACTGCGACAAGGAAGTGCAAGCACTGCGAGGGGAAGCAACAAGCAAAACGCACAGGCCATCCAGAGGGGCTTTTTATCCACCCAAAGGGCCCCAAGAGGCCCCCAGAGAGCCTCAAGAGGGCCCAAGAAGCATCAAGAAGCCCCGAGAGGGCCTCAAGAGAGCCTCAAGAAGCCCCCAAGTAAGCTTCAAGGTGCCCCAAGAGAGCCTCAAGAGCGCTCAGGAAAGCTCCAAGGGAGGTTGCGGAAGCCCCAAGAGGGCCTCACGAGGGCCGTACAAGAGCCTCAAGAAGGCCCTGGGAGCTTGAGAATGCCCCAGGAGGGCATTATATGCCCCAAGAAAGCCGCAAGAGGCCCCAAGAGAGCCTCAATCGGGCTCAGGAAGCCTCAAGAAACCCCGAGAGGGCCTCAAGAGAGCCTCAAGAGAGGGCCCCAAGAAGGTTCCAAGATGCCCCAAGAGAGCCTCAAGAGAGTTCAAGAGGGCTCCAAGAGATGTTCAGGAAGCCCCCAGGGGGGCCCATGAGGGCCGCACAAGAGCCTCAGGGAAGTCTTGGGAGCTTGAGATTGCCCCAAGAGGGCCTCGTATGCCCCAAGAGCGCCCTAAGAGGCCCCCAGAGAGCTTCAAACCGGTACAAGAAGCCTCAAGAAGCCCCGAGAGGGCCTCAAGAGAGCCTCAAGAGGGCCCCAAGAAGGCTTCAAGATGCCCCGAGAGAGCCTCAAGAGCGCTCTGGAGGGCTCCATCCAAGAGGGCTTCAAGCCCCCTGAGGGCCCCACGACGGCCCTACACGAGCATCAAGGAGCCTCCTCCGCCTCCCCTGTATCATCCTTCTCCTCCTCCCGTTTCTCCTTCCCCTCCTCCTCCTCCTCCTCCCCTTCGGCCTCGGGAGGGGGGTGGGCAGGGGGGTGCTTAGCGCGCGGAGGGGCGCTTAGCGCACGCGGGAGGGGGGGGGGGGGGGGGGGGGGGTGACTTAGCGCAGCGGGAGGGTAGGGGGGCACTTAGCGTACGCGGGAGGGGGAGGTAGGGAGGTAGGGGGGGGGGACTTAGCGCACGCCGCTGGGGGGGGGGGGGGGGGTACGTAGGCGCACGCGGAGGGGGTACTAGCGCACGCGGGAGGGGGGGGTTAATTAGCGCGTCGCGGGGTGTGGTACTTAGCGCACGCGGGAGGGGGGGGTAGGGGGTACTTAGCGCGCGCGGGACAACCGAAACGACCCCCAAACCACCCCCAAACCACCCCCAAACCACCCCCAAACCACCCCCAAACCACCCCCAGAGACCACCTCCAAAGCGTCCGCCGAGCAACAACATCATCATCGGCAAGTTGGCGCGGCGCTGACGCATAACCAACGCTGCACTTTCAATGCCCATTGAGACGCCTACCCCCCCCAATGCACCCCCAAAAAGACCACCCGAACTCCATGCCCCCCCAGGGGTATGAACAGCGCGCGCCCCAAACCACCCCCAAACCACCCCCAAACCACCTGCAAACCACCTCTAGGATAGGTTTGAAGGACCCCCCATGACCAACAGGCACCCCCCAAGGTACCTACCCCCAACAACGATGACCCTCAAACACCCTCAAAGGCACCCACCCGGCATGACGATGACCCTCAAACACCCTCAAAGGTATCCCATCAAACACCCCAACACATGCAAAGGATAAGGATGAGGATGAGGAGGAGGAGGAGGAGAAGGGAGTGAGGAGTGAGGAAGACAAGGGGGAGAAGAAGAGGAAGGAAAGAGGATAAGGAGGATAGTTCGGAGGTGGTTTGGGGGTGGTTTGGGGGTGGTTTGGGGGTGGTTTGGGGGTGGTTTGGGAGTGGTTTGGGGGTGGTTTGGAGGTGGTTTGGGGGTGGTTTTTGGGGTCGTTTAAGCTCCTCCTCCTCCTCCTCCTCCTCCTCGCCCGTGTCCTCCTCCTCCTCCTCCTCCTCCTGCCTCCTCCTCCTCGCACCGCCTCCTTCACTTCCTCCTCCGCCTCCTCCGCCTCCTCATCATCGTAATGCACGGACGCGCGCGGCGCCTGCGCAGTGAAGACCTCCACGGAATAACGGGGCGCCGCCGCCCCACGGCGGCGGCGGCGGCGCCCCTCCCCCGCCCCCCCCCCCCCCCCCCCCCGTACCTCCATTCCGGCGACGGCGCGGCGCCCTCTCCCCTCCTCCTTCTCATCATCATTCATTTCCCCGCCCTCGGCCCCCATCCCTCCTCCACTTCTCCGGCCTCTACCCTCCTTTCCCTCCTCGTCCTCCTCCTCCTCCCTCTCCTCCTCCTCCTCCCTCCCTCCCCTCCTCCTCCTCCTCCTCCTCCCTCTCCTCCTCCTGTAAGGCGTGGCGCTGCATTGTGTAGCATAGTGCATCACCGCATAGCGTAGCATAGCATAGCATTGCATTACAACGCTGCAGGAAACAGCATGGCGTAGCATATCATAGCACCGTTTATCACAGCATATATTAGCATGAGTATGCGCACCATGCTATGCTATACGTTGCGACGCAAGGCTGGCTCCATACAGACGCGCTGCATGCCATGCAGTGCTACATGCAATGAGATGCAGTGCAATGCGACTACTGCCATCAAACTATAAGATACATGCTAATGCATGCCATGACCTGCTGCCCATGTCATTCACTTTGCAATGCTATGCCATGCCCTCAATGCGACATTGCGGCATGTTGTGGCTGACGTGTTACGCCCGACATGCCCTGATATAAAAAGGGTTCTGGAAACGCTGCATGCTGCACTATACTACGCAATGCAATGTTCTGCAAACGTGCTGCGAAAGTTTGTGCGTCACTTTGCTATGCCATGCAACGACTTCTCATACAATGTTACGAACTGCTTATGAATAGTACATCACATTGGAACATCGTACACCACGTGGAAGTATAGCTTAGATGACCGAGTTTGCTCATGTCGGCTCATTGAATTGCACTGCGCAGTATGGCAAAACATTGCATGGTATATCATAGCACAGCATGGCACATCATATCATATCGAATTATATGATATATCAGCACGTTTGCATATCATCGCACAGCATCGCATAGCACGCAGCCCTTCCAAGAGCATTGCATAACATAGGACGGCACTGGCATACCACAGCTGTTAGCATTGGTCAGCGTCGCACGACAAACCACAACTGTTGATCACGATGCCCTTTCACTGAGCTTCACTTACACAAGTCTCAAGGAAACCCACTCCAAACACGGCAAGCACTGCGAAACCACGCTGAGAAGCCAGAAACTGGACTAGGCTCTCTGATCACGCATGACAAGTACTTTTTCATTATTTGCAATATACAGAACGTTGTGCACCTACAACTGTGGCGATGTACACTGAGGCAATCCCAGAGCGAGCCGCCATATTCCTGACACCGCCACTGAACAAAGCACACGCACGATCAGTAGTTGACGAAACCGCCGATGTGTCCATTCGCACTGAGAGGACACCAGACAATCTCGACGCCGCCATTGAGCGTACACCGTGCTGAGAGAAGCAGTTGACGAATCCACCATGGTGTCTAGTCGGGCTGGAGACCAAAAGACGAGCATCATCATGCACTGAGCGCTGCCAATGAACATACAAAATGCTAAGAACATCAGCGGATGAAGAACGTGTCGATTCTGAGTTGCCACCCAAAGCGCTCAAGGATTGATCGGACCTGCCCCCATGGAACTCTGAGCTGCACTGAAAACCAAGGACAGGCCATTAGCGTCGGTGCAGACCTGCGCCCAATGCCACATGCACGCCGTATTGAGGCCGACGTATGGATTGAGTCTGTCCTCCCAGTCCTCAGGCCAAGGAGCATTCATGCGCGTCGCTTCATCGACGATCTGCACCGCGCGGTACTGCATCGCGTACTCGTAGAACTCCTTGTATGTGGATGGGCGCTGGTTGTTCAACGAACGCCTTGGCACGATGCCCCGATCAAAGACCATTCCGATACCCAGTTCCCGATCGAGCGTCTGGTGGTACATGCATCCAACCGCGCACCCGAGGGACAATGACCCGTCCCACTCGCCAAGGAACAGCACCTTCATCCGATTCGCCGTGGCTGCAGCACACAGCGCAACTACGTTGATGCTGCCGTCGCCGTTTGGCGAGATGAAATCGTTCGGCCCGAGGGGGCCGTGGAGCTTCATGCGCACTCTGTTGGTCCCGCCGCCGCCCAGAGGCCTCAGGTCGTCTCCCGCATCATGGTTGCACTCCTTGGGAACGTAGCCAGGCACGTGCCCCATCTGGGCCTCGACGACGGGAGTGCCCCCGCCACGGCGAGCTTCGTTCGACCGCATGATGGTCACAACAGACGCAGATGGACATTGTGCGATGACCGCCTCGAAGCACATGACCTCGTAGTGCAGCCTGCGCTCTGATGCGCTCGGGTTCCACTGCAAGTACTTCTTCAAAAGCCACTGCAAGTAGTCCCTACGGCCCGTCGGAGGGCATAGGTTGGACATGAAGATGAGGCTCGGCACCTGGGTGAGCCAGTCCCCCCGATGTAATTCGAAGATGTCGAGCTTCTTGATTTCCACGCCCATCGATCGCAAGCGAGCTGCTCCGTGCACCTCGAGCACGCCCGTGTCAATGTCTGACGCCACCCACCCATGCAAATGGAAAGGAGCACCAACAGGTTGTGCCATAGCTGGCTGCGCGCCGCTCGCTGGGCTAGCGCTGCTTGACGCCATGCCCATGTCCATGTGGATCACTGGCCCCGTCAGCTGGGGCAAAGAAAACACACCGTAGACTTTGTGTGACTATCTGGCCAGGTAATGCCCGGCAGCACCTAAGCCCAAATGGCTGCGGAGGTGCTGGAATCTGCGAAAGGGCCAGACGGAGTGATGCGACAAGACACCCGAGAGGACCCAAGACCATACTGTGACCATGCCAGAGGGCATGCCGAAAAGGAGACTCCGATTACATTAAACATACGACAAGGGCACACTTGACTTGGCATGGTCGACCCATCATTCATCAACTCCAAGTTCTGGGGAGCGGGGGGGGGGGGGGCGAACAATGTGTGAGGAAGTATCAAGCAGAGGCCGCCGTTGTTGTAGCTGCTCGAGGCTTCGGGGCTTTGTCGTCGTCGTCGTCCGTCATCGTCGTCTGAGCGAACTTCTGCCCCCCCCGTGGGGGCCGAAATTCCCTCACTGCCTCGTGTCGTCATCGTCGTCGTCGTCGTCGTCGTCGTCGTCGCTGTCCTCGTCGTAACCACCGCCGCCATCGACGTCGTCGTCGTCGGCGTCGTCGCTGTCGTCGTCGGCGTCGTCGTCATTGTCGTCGTCGTCCTCGCCGTCGTCGTCGCGGTCGCCGTCGTCGACGTTGTCCTCGTACTCGTCTTCGTCGTCGTCGCCGTCCTAGCATACCATCGCCGCAATCCATAGCATCGCATAGTATAACATATTACGCCTAGCCCGCCGCGTTTGCGATAAACCATCGCAAATCCTTACATGGCATAGCAGAGCAAACCATAATATGTCATACCGCGTTTTCATAGCACCGCACGGCCTAGCATAGCGTAGCATGCAGCGCTTCCGAAATCACTGCGTAGCAGCTCATGCACTTGGGATACCGCATCAACAACGACGCACCTCAACGCGGCACTGGTGGCACAGCATAGCATTGTGTGTGTGTGCGTGTGCGTGTGCGTGTGCGTGTGTGTGTGTGTGTGTGTGTGCGTGTGTGGGTGCGTGTGCGTGTGCGTGTGCGTGTGTGTGTGCGTGTGTGTGTGTGCGTGTGTGTGTGTGTGTGCGTGTGCGTGTGCGTGTGTGCGTGTGTGTGTGTGTGTGGGTGTGGGTGTGTGGGTGTGCGTGTGTGCGTGTGTGCGTGTGTGCGTGTGTGCGTGTGTGCGTGTGTGCGTGTGTGCGTGTGTGCGTGCGTGCGTGCGTGCGTGCGAGCGTCATGCAGCTCTAAGCCTGCAGCCTCGCCATGTTCCCACTTCCCAGGCGTGCAGAAGGTGCGCGGTGACAGGTTGCCCCCGTAGAACGTGGCGCGGACGGCCTCGATGGGCGGAGGAACCAGCGGACGGTCCTCCTGGCGGCGCTCCTCGAGCGTAGGCTGCCCCTTCGCGATGCAGCGGCCGCGGGGAGGGGTGGAGCGGCGCCCCTTCACGACCTGCTCTGCGCCGAGGGAGTTCGTCGTTCCACTTGAGGGCCTCGCGTGCTCCCTGACCGACTGGAGCGCGACATCATTGCGGCAGGGAGTGTCGGGACCTACACGGATCTGGGCCATGCTCTCTCGATCGATTTACACCCTTCTCGAGTCGAGCCCATAGCCTATGGCGCAGAGAATCTGCAGTTCTAAAAACAGATGGTGCTGCGCAATATGATGGAACGCGACAGTGCGTACTATGAAACGGCAGGATAGGTTATGCTAAGCTGTGCTTTGGCATGGTACGCCTAATACAATGTACACATACTATGATACGATGTGAAAGTAGGTTTGGTAGAACCGTATATGAATGGATCGGGTGGGTTATGATCCCATGGGGTGAACAGGAAGCCTAGGGAAGAACGAAAGCACACATTATCGATGGCCCTCTCAAGTTGCCCAGGATGCCAGGAGCCCCCCGAGAGGGCCTGGAATGGGACCCCGCGAGCGCTCAGTTCTGGGACCTCAGACGGGGAATGGGAGAAGGAGGATTGAGGGATCAGGGATGCAAGAGGGAAGGTGCACCGAGAGACACCGATGGACACCCAAATGGACCGAGAGCCCCTAATGAGCCCTGAATCATAGCGTAGCTCAGCAGTGCATAGCATATCATAACACTTCATGGCATAGCGTTTGCCCTGATGTGAAGAATGATAGTGGAATAATGTTTGTACTGCGGCACTCTCCACACACGATGAAAGCTAGGGCTGCATATCAGGCTCGGGCCCCTCTCCATGCCTGCGCGCCCGTTCGCATGCCAATGTGCGAAGGGCATTCACGTCGCCGATCTGTGCCATGCGCTCGACAATGCCGCGCGCGTTCTGGCGCATCCTGTAGGTCATGGTGGAGATGCACATTCCACAGTGGTTAGGCTTATCCGTCCAGTTGTGGCCGTCCAAGAGCCAGGCCGCCAAGAAGCCTACAGGCCGACCTGTGGCGGCCCGGTTCCCTGCAAGCGCCGTCCGCTCACGACTGCACTTGGCGTGCCCGCAGTCCCTGCAGTAGGCCACGAACCTCTGGGTGGTCGCGTAGTACACGATCTCGCCGCATCCGATGTTGAGGTGCACTTCAGCAGGGACATGCAGACCCCCTGGCCCACCGCCGCCGCCTCCGTCAGGGGGGCCACCGCCGTCGACTCCGCCAGGAGGACCACCGCCTCCGCCACCGTGGGCGCCACCACCAGGAGGGTCACCGCCTCCGCCTCCGCCACCACGAGGATCCCCCTGCTCATCCTCTGAGTCCTCCTCGTCGTCACTCCCTTTAGGTTCGGAGCCCTCGCCGTGGATGCCGTCGACGTGAACGTCGAGGTCTCCATGGTCCTTGTGCTCGTCCCCGTTGTCGATGCCAACCTCTGCACCCTCGCCCCCGGCGCCGTGCAGGTCACCGCCGTGCCCAGGGGCGCCGCCGCGAGCAGCTGCTTGCGACCTGAGAAGAGCGCAACATGTTGGGAATTACCGATACACCCCCCTCTTGAGGATAACGAGAGCCCCCCACACACCACCCAACAACGTCAGAGGCTTAAGCGCAACCCTGCGCGACCTTAGGAAGGCAGCCGATCTCTTGTAAATCACCGACCCAGGCCAAAAGCACAGCTCCTCCCCGACAGCGCGCGCCTCCTGGAACTTCGGCTGGGTCGCGCCGACGAGGGCTTCAGAAGCGATGAGGCGATAATATCGGCGATGCAACGCAGCCCCGTATCCAACTTCATCCCTTATGTTATCCATAACGTCGTAGTCGCAGCAAATGGCCTCCTCGGCCTCGAGCTTGACAAAGTCGTCCTCGATGGAACTGTCTGAGCACATGCCCGTATACACTGCAAATAAAGGGCTCAGGCTCTGAAACGAAATGTGCAACCACCATGTTTGAGTGACGTGATCCTCCGCCTCTTCCTCCGCCAATGGCTCAGGCGCCCGACTGACGATGCACGCGACAAACCAACCTTGCTGCAGATCGTGTCTAGCAGGCTTACCTGTCGGAAAATCTCGACTGAGGCACGCGTACAGTCCAGACACCATGGCCTTAAGTAGAAGTTTATCCCCGCGGCAGCAGCAGCGGTTGATAATCCAACACGTCGAGCGTGTATTTGGCATCTTGCCGAACTGTTCGCACTTGTCATGCTGGACGACGAGGTGGCGCGTCTCCCAATCCGAGTCCAGGACCGAAGCAATGCGCCTGCAAGCGGGATTGGACGACGAGTCTAGGCTCGCCACGAGCTTGGCCAAATCTCTGGCTGACCGAGGCATCCAGCAAGCTGACTTGACCGTCGAAGTTAAAGGGGGTCGGTGCTCCCATGCCGTAGTGAGTGGCAAACCCGACATGCAGACGCCAGAAACAACTTCCAATGTCTCGGCCGAAACATCAGATTGCCCTGTATGCGCCGCCAAGGCCTCGTCGTAAAGCTTCTGTTCCAGCGCGCGCTTCTTGTCTGCGATGTGCCTGGTCCTGCGGGCCTGTGCGACGCCGTCTGCAATGCAGGCGAATGTATTAGCACCAGTGGGCAGCACAGCCAAGCTCGAATATGACAAATGCGGCGGCTGCTGTTCGTCATGTACTTGCGCCCTCATGCGGTCGGCAACGCATTCCTTCATCACCCGCAGTTCTTCGCGGCGCGCATCGCGATGCAAGGCCCTCTGAACATCCTGAGCATCGGGGCCGAATGGTTTTGCAACTCCTTCTCGACCAGCTTGCGTGGCTGCAGCTCCATCCTTAGTGTATTTAAGCCTCTCCTCTGGCGTCTGCTGCTTGTACGCGTCGTGGATGCCCTTGAGGTCCTGCTCCGCTCTGGGCACGCCTCGGAGCTGCTCGCTCAGCCACGCCCTGCATGCGCCTCCACATGGCCCCCTGGACCTTTTCGGCGCTGGCTCCTCGGTGCCGCTAGCCTCCCCAGTCTGGTCATCGCCGCGGGCCTCCAGGGATTTGCAGTCGCAGATCTGCTTGCCCTTCCTGTCCACGAAGCGGCCGCTGGCCAAACCGAGCTCTATCGTTGGCGATTGGCATGACGCCTTGATCACGTCCCGACGGATGCTCGCATGAGTAGCCTCCCTTCTCGCATTGTCAACTTCCTCGTGCATTGCCCTGGTGACAACGTCGATGACGGCGCGCTCGGTGCAGATGTCATCGCCGTAGTGCTCAACGAGCTTCAACGTCCAGGGGTCGAAACGGCACCTCGGGCACATGCCCAGCATCCGACCCATGTAGGACATGTCGTTATCTCGAATGCTATCGAAGGCAAGCCGGTACGTGCGATTGGGGAAATTCAGACTGGGCCGAACCAGCGTGGATCCCTCATCGGCGTTACAAAAGTTTCGTCATAAAATAAAAGTCGATAATCTTGCATAAGCAAAGACAAATCCCGCCCCGGTGGGATTTCTGGAACCGTGTGAATTCACATCGGGATTTCAAAATGTCTCGTTTTAAATCTATACTATTATAGTAAGGGAGGAAATCCCACTTTTAGAAATCCCCGATCTTTGATCCGACCGCTCTTGACTCAGTCCGCTAGGATTCGAAGGGGGAAGGGGGGGCCAGCTCGGCGCGGCCAGGGCAGTGGTCAGCCTCTGCCCGCTTGCTCACGCGGAAGGAAGACACGAAACCATGCCACCTTCAAGCTCTCATGAAACGTGACGAACTTTTGTAACGGCGTAGCGGTATTTCAGACACCGCGCGGCGAGCGTCGATCCCCTAGCGGTATTTCAGACACCGCGCGGCGAGCGTCGATCCCCTCAGCGGTATTTCAGACACCGCGCGGCGGCGAGCGTCGATCCCCTAGCGGCATTGCAGACACCGCGCGGCGAGCGTCGATCCCCTCAGCAGTAGTTCAGACACCGCGCAACGAGCGTCGATCCCCTAGCGGTATTTCAGACACCGCGCGGCGAGCGTCGATCCCCTCAGCAGCATTTCAGACACCGCGCGGCGAGCGTCGATCCCCTCAGCGGTATTTCAGACGCCGCGCGGCGAGAGTCGATCCCCTCAGCGGTATTCAGACACCGCGCGGCGAGCGTCGATCCCCTAGCGGTATTTGTATGTACAGACACCGGCGGCGAGCGTCGACCTCAGCTGCGTACAAAAAGTTTCGTTCATAAAATTAACGTCGATCATCTTGCATAAGCAAGGACAAATCCCGTGCCCGGTGGGATTCTGTAACGTGTGAATTCATGGGATTTCAAAATTTTCTTATTATTTGTACTATATATAGTTTTTTTTGTAAAAAAAAAGGGGGGGAAATTCCCAATTTAGAAATCCCCGATCTTTGATACGACCGCTCTTGACTCAGTCCGCTAGGATTCTAAGGGGGAAAGGGGGGCCAGCTCGGCGCGGCCAGGGCAGTGTCAGCCTCTGCCCGCTTGCTCACGCGTAAGGAAGACACGAAACCCACGCCACCTTCAAGTTCTCATGAAACGTGACGAACTTTTGTAAACGGCCGTAGCGGTTAATTTCATACAACGACGCGGGCGAGCGTCGATTCCCCTTCGCGGGTATTTTGTGAAGAATACCGAGCCGGCGAGCGGTCGATTCCCCTCAGACGGTATTTATTCAGACACCGCGCGGCGAGCGTCGATCCCCTAGCGGCATTTCAGACCCCGCGCGGCGAGCGTCGATCCCCCCAGCGGTATTTCAGACACCGCGCGGCGAGCGTCGATCCCCCAGCGGTATTTCAGACACCGCGCGGCGAGCGTCGATCCCCTCAGCGGTTTTTCAGACACCGCGCGGCGAGCGTCGATCCCCGAGCGGTATTTCAGACACCGCGCGGCGAGCGTCGATCCCCTCAGCGGTATTTCAGACACCGCGCGGCGAGCGTCGACCCCCTAGCGGTATTTGTATGTCAGACACCGCGCGGCGAGCGTCGATCCCCTCATCGGCGTTACAAAAGTTTCGTCATAAAATAAAAGTCGATAATCTTGCATAAGCAAAGACAAATCCCGCCCCGGTGGGATTTCTAGAACCGTGTGAACTTACGTCGGGATTTCAAAATGTCCCGTTTTTAATCTATACTATTATAGTAAGGGATGAAATCCCACTTTTAGAAATCCCGGATCTTTGATCCGACCGCTCTTGACTCAGTCCGCTAGGATTCTAAGGGGGAAGGGGGGGCCCAGCTCGGCGCGGCCAGGGCAGTGTCAGCCTCTGCCCGCTTGCTCACGCGGAAGGAAGACACGAAACCCATGCCACCTTCAAGCTCTCATGAAACGTGACGAACTTTTGTAACGGCGTAGCGGTATTTCAGACACCGCGCGGCGAGCGTCGATCCCCTAGCGGTATCTCAGACACCGCGCGGCGAGCGTCGATCCCCTCAGCGGTATTTCAGACACCGCGCGGCGAGCGTCGATCCCCTAGCGGCATTTCAGACACCGCGCGGCGAGCGTCGATCCCCTCAGCAGTATTTCAGACACCGCGCGGCGAGCGTCGATCCCCTAGCGGTATTTCAGACACCGCGCGGCGAGCGTCGATCCCCTCAGCGGTATTTCAGACACCGCGCGGCGAGCGTCGACCCCCTCAGCGGTATTTCAGACACCGCGCGGCGAGCGTCGATCCCCTAGCGGTATATTCCAGACACCGCGCGGCGAGCGTCGACCCCCTACGGTATTTGTATGTCAGACTACCGCGCGGCGAGCGTCGTCCTCATCGTCGTTACAAAAATTTCGTCCATAAAATAAAAGTCTATCATCTTGCCTAAGCAAAGACACATCCCGCCCCGGTGGGATTTCTGGAACCGTGTGAATTCACATCGGGAGTTCAAAATGTCTCGTTTTAAATCTCTACTATTATAGTAAGGGGGGAAATCCCACTTTTAGAAATCCCCGATCTTTGATCCGACCGCTCTTGACTCAGTCCGCTAGGATTCGAAGGGGGAAGGGGGGGCCAGCTCGGTGCGGCCAGGGCAGTGGTCAGCCTCTGCCCGCTTGCTCACGCGGAAGGAAGACACGAAACCCATGCCACCTTCAAGCTCTCATGAAACGTGACGAACTTTTGTAACGGCGTAGCGGTATTTCAGACACCGCGCGAGCGTCGATCCCCTTGGGCGCATTCAGACCAACCGGCGCGGCGAGCGTCGATCCCCTCAGCGGTATTTCCAGACACCGCGCGGCAGCGTACGATCCCCTAGCGGCATTACAGACACCCTCGCGGCGAGCTCGATCCCCTCAACTAGATTTCAGACACCGCGCGGCGGCGTCGATCCCCTAGCGGAATTTCAGACACCGCGCCGGCGAGTCGTCGAACCCCTCAGCGAATTTCAGACACCGAGCGCGCGAGCGTAACGGCGTAGCGGTATTCAGACACCGCGCGGCGAAGCGTCGATCCCCCCCCCTCAGCGTAATTCAGACACCGCCGCGCGAGCGCGACTCCCCTAGGCGGTATTTGTATTTCAGACACCGCGCGGCGAGCGTCGATCCCCTCATCGGCGTTACAAAAGTTTCGTCATAAAATAAAAGTAGATCATCTTGCATAAGCAAAGACAAATCCCGCCCCGGTGGGATTTCTGGAACCGTGTGAATTCACATCGGGATTTCAAAATGTCCCGTTTAAAATCTATACTATTATAGTAAGGGATGAAATCCCACTTTTAGAAATCCCGGATCTTTGATCCGACCGCTCTTGACTCAGTCCGCTAGGATTCTAAGGGGGAAGGGGGGGCCAGCTCGGCGCGGCCAGGGCAGTGGACAGCCTCTGCCCGCTTGCTCACGCGGAAGGAAGACACGAAACCCATGCCACCT